ACCACCGATGATGAAAGTCAATTAATCGGCGATTTGGGCGAAAAAAAATTCCGGGGGCATTTTCGTAATTTACGAGCGCTTTTTTCGGAAGGCCATTTTCCTTGGATTTTGAAGGCTACGGATCAAAGTTTCGGCGTGAGCCTATCCCCACGGGCGACTGAGTCTATTAAGCACCGATTTGGGCGAATTTGTTCCGGGTCAAATTTAGGCAGATTCCAAAGGGGGTACCATCACCGATTTCGGGCGATTTTATGGAATGGCCATTTTTGCTGGATTTTGGAGGCTACGGGTCACGGATTCGGCCTGAGGCGAACTGTGGCTATAAACCACCGATGATGAAGTCAATTAATCGGCGATTTGGGCGGAAAAAAATTCCGGGGGCATTTTCGTAATTTAAGAGCGCTTTTTGCGGAAGGCCATTTTCCTTGGATTTTGAAGGCTACGGATCAAAGTTTCGGCGTGAGCCTATCCCCCACGGACGACTGAGTCTATTAAGCACCGATTTGGGCGAATTTGTTCCGGGTCAAATTTAGGCAGATTCCAAAGGGGTACCATCACCGATTTCGGGCGATTTTATGGAATGGCCATTTTTGCTGGATTTTGGAGGCTACGGGTCACGGATTCGGCCTGAGGCGAACTGTGGCTATAAACCACCGATGATGAAGTCAATAAATCGGCGATTTGGGCGAAAAAAAATTCCGGGGACATTTTCGTAATTTACGAGCGCTTTTTTCGGAAGGCCATTTTCCTTGGATTTTGAAGGCTACGGATCAAAGTTTCGGCGTGAGCCTATCCCCCACGGGCGACTGAGTTTATTAAGCACCGATTTGGGCGAATTTGTTCCGGGTCAAATTTAGGCAGATTCCAAAGGGGTACCATCACCGATTTCGGGCGATTTTATGGAATGCCCATTTTTGCTGGATTTTGGAGGCTACGGGTCACGGATTCGGCCTGAGGCGAACTGTGGCTATAAACCACCGATGATGAAGTCAATTAATCGGCGATTTGGGCGAAAAAAAATTCCGGGGGCATTTTCGTAATTTACGAGCACTTTTTTCGGAAGGCCATTTTCCTTGGATTTTGAAGGCTACGGATCAAAGTTTCGGCGTGAGCCTATCCCCCACGGGCGACTGAGTCTATTAAGCACCGATTTGGGCGAATTTGTTCCGGGTCAAATTTAGGCAGATTCCAAAGGGGTACCATCACCGATTTCGGGCGATTTTATGGAATGCCCATTTTTGCTGGATTTTGGAGGCTACGGGTCACGGAATCGGCCTGAGGCGAACTGTGGCTATAAACCACCGATGATGAAGTCAATTAATCGGCGATTTGGGCGAAAAAAAATTCCGGGGGCATTTTCGTAATTTACGAGCGCTTTTTTCGGAAGGCTATTTTCCTTGGATTTTGAAGGCTACGGATCAAAGTTTCGGCGTGAGCCTATCCCCCACGGGCGACTGAGTCTATTAAGCACCGATTTGGACGAATTTGTTCCGGGTCAAATTTAGGCAGATTCCAAAGGGGGTACCATCACCGATTTCGGGCGATTTTATGGAATGGCCATTTTTGCTGGATTTTGGAGGCTACGGGTCACGGAATCGGCCTGAGGCGAACTGTGGCTATAAACCACCGAATATGAAGTCAATTAATCGGCGATTTGGGCGGGAAAAAATTCCGGGGGCATTTTCGTAATTTACGAGCGCTTTTTTCGGAAGGCCATTTTCCTTGGATTTTGAAGGCTACGGATCAAAGTTTCGGCGTGAGCCTATCCCCCACGGGCGACTGAGTCTATTAAGCACCGATTTGGGCGAATTTGTTCCGGGTCAAATTTAGGCAGATTCCAAAGGGGTACCATCACCGATTTCGGGCGATTTTATGGAATGGCCATTTTTGCTGGATTTTGGAGGCTACGGGTCACGGAATCGGCCTGAGGCGAACTGTGGCTATAAACCACCGAATATGAAGTCAATTAATCGGCGATTTGGGCGGAAAAAAATTCCGGGGGCATTTTCGTAATTTACGAGCGCTTTTTTCGGAAGGCCATTTTCCTTGGATTTTGAAGGCTACGGATCAAAGTTTCGGCGTGAGCCTATCCCCCACGGGCGACTGAGTCTATTAAGCACCGATTTGGGCGAATTTGTTCCGGGTCAAATTTAGGCAGATTCCAAAGGGGTACCATCACCGATTTCGGGCGATTTTATGGAATGGCCATTTTTGCTGGATTTTGGAGGCTACGGGTCACGGAATCGGCCTGAGGCGAACTGTGACTATAAACCACCGAATATGAAGTCAATTAATCGGCGATTTGGGCGGAAAAAAATTCCGGGGGCATTTTCGTAATTTACGAGCGCTTTTTTCGGAAGGCCATTTTCCTTGGATTTTGAAGGCTACGGATCAAAGTTTCGGCGTGAGCCTATCCCCCACGGGCGACTGAGTCTATTAAGCACCGATTTGGGCGAATTTGTTCCGGGTCAAATTTAGGCAGATTCCAAAGGGGTACCATCACCGATTTCGGGCGATTTTATGGAATGGCCATTTTTGCTGGATTTTGGAGGCTACGGGTCACGGATTCGGCCTGAGGCGAACTGTGGCTATAAACCACCGATGATGAAGTCAATTAATCGGCGATTTGGGCGGAAAAAAATTCCGGGGGCATTTTCGTAATTTACGAGCGCTTTTTTCGGAAGGCCATTTTCCTTGGATTTTGAAGGCTACGGATCAAAGTTTCGGCGTGAGCCTATCCCCCACGGGCGAGTGAGTCTATTAAGCACCGATTTGGGCGAATTTGTTCCGGGTCAAATTTAGGCAGAATCCAAAGGGGTACCATCACCGATTTCGGGCGATTTTATGGAATGGCCATTTTTGCTGGATTTTGGAGGCTACGGGTCACGGAATCGGCCTGAGGCGAACTGTGGCTATAAACCACCGAATATGAAGTCAATTAATCGGCGATTTGGGCGGAAAAAAATTCCGGGGGCATTTTCGTAATTTACGAGCGCTTTTTTCGGAAGGCCATTTTCCTTGGATTTTGAAGGCTACGGATCAAAGTTTCGGCGTGAGCCTATCCCCCACGGGCGACTGAGTCTATTAAGCACCGATTTGGGCGAATTTGTTCCGGGTCAAATTTAGGCAGATTCCAAAGGGGTACCATCACCGATTTCGGGCGATTTTATGGAATGGCCATTTTTGCTGGTTTTTGGAGGCTACGGGTCACGGATTCGGCCTGAGGCGAACTGTGGCTATAAACCACCGATGATGAAGTCAATTAATCGGCGATTTGGGCGGAAAAAAATTCCGGGGGCATTTTCGTAATTTACGAGCGCTTTTTTCGGAAGGCCATTTTCCTTGGATTTTGAAGGCTACGGATCAAAGTTTCGGCGTGAGCCTATCCCCCACGGACGACTGAGTCTATTAAGCACCGATTTGGGCGTATTTGTTCCGAGTCAAATTTTGGCAGATTCCAAAGGGGTACCATCACCGATTTCGGGCGATTTTATGGAATGGCCATTTTTGCTGGATTTTGGAGGCTACGGGTCACGGATTCGGCCTGAGGCGAACTGTGGCTATAAACCACCGATGATGGAGTCAATTAATCGGAGATTTGGGCGAAAAAATATTCCGGGGGCATTTTCGTAATTTTCCAGCGCTTTTTTCGAAAGGGAATTTTCCTTGGATTTAGAAGGCTACGGATCAAGGATTCGGCGCGAGGGTATCCTCCACCGACGAATAAGTCTACTAAGCACTGATTTGTGCGTATTTGTTCCGGGCCAATTTTTGGCAGTTCCTAAAGGTGTACCATCACCGATTTCAGGCGATTTTTTGGAATGGCCATTTTGGCTGGATTTTGGAGGCTACGGGTCACGGAATCGGCCTGAGGCGAACTGTGGCTATAAACCACCGAATATGAAGTCAATTAATCGGCGATTTGGGCGGAAAAAAATTCCGGGGGCATTTTCGTAATTTACGAGCGCTTTTTTCGGAAGGCCATTTTCCTTGGATTTTGAAGGCTACGGATCAAAGTTTCGGCGTGAGCCTATCCCCCACGGGCGACTGAGTCTATTAAGCACCGATTTGGGCGAATTTGTTCCGGGTCAAATTTAGGCAGATTCCAAAGGGGTACCATCACCGATTTCGGGCGATTTTATGGAATGGCCATTTTTGCTGGTTTTTGGAGGCTACGGGTCACGGATTCGGCCTGAGGCGAACTGTGGCTATAAACCACCGATGATGAAGTCAATTAATCGGCGATTTGGGCGGAAAAAAATTCCGGGGGCATTTTCGTAATTTACGAGCGCTTTTTTCGGAAGGCCATTTTCCTTGGATTTTGAAGGCTACGGATCAAAGTTTCGGCGTGAGCCTATCCCCCACGGACGACTGAGTCTATTAAGCACCGATTTGGGCGTATTTGTTCCGAGTCAAATTTTGGCAGATTCCAAAGGGGTACCATCACTGATTTCGGGCGATTTTATGGAATGGCCATTTTTGCTGGATTTTGGAGGCTATGGGTCACGGATTCGGCCTGAGGCGAACTGTGGCTATAAACCACCGATGATGGAGTCAATTAATCGGAGATTTGGGCGAAAAAATATTCCGGGGGCATTTTCGTAATTTTCCAGCGCTTTTTTCGAAAGGGAATTTTCCTTGGATTTAGAAGGCTACGGATCAAGGATTCGGCGCGAGGGTATCCTCCACCGACGAATAAGTCTACTAAGCACTGATTTGTGCGTATTTGTTCCGGGCCAATTTTTGGCAGTTCCTAAAGGTGTACCATCACCGATTTCAGGCGATTTTTTGGAATGGCCATTTTGGTTGGATTTTGGAGGCTACGGAGCAAGAATTCGGCCTGAGGCGAACTGGGGCTATCCTCCGGCGATTATGGAGTGAATTAATCGAAGATTTGGGCGAAAATTTTTCCGGGGGCATTTTCGTAATTTTCCGAGCGCTTTTTTCGGAAGGGCATTTTCCTTGGATTTAGAAGGCTACGGATCAAGGATTCGGCGCGAGGGTATCCTCCACCGACGAATAAGTCTATTAAGCACTGATTTGGGCGTATTTGTTCCGGGCCAATTTTTGGCAGTTCCCAAAGGGGTACCATCACCGATTTCGGACGATTTTTTGGAATGACCATTATGGTTGGATTTTGGAGGCGACGGAGCAAGATTCGGCCTGAGGCGAACTGGGGCTATCCTCCAGCGATGATGGAGTGAATTAATCGGAGATGTGGGCGAAAATTTTCCCGGGGGCATTTTCGTAATTTTCCGAGCGCTTTTTTCGGAAGGGCATTTTCCTTGGATTTAGAAGGCTAGGGATCAAGGATTCGGCGCGAGGGTATCCTCCACCGACGAATAAGTCTATTAAGCACTGATTTGGGCGTATTTGTTCCGGGCCAATTTTTGGCAGTTCCCAAAGGGGTACCATCACCGATTTCGGGCAATTTTTTGGAATGGCCATTTTGGTTGGATTTTGGAGGCTATGGAGCAAGGATTCGGCCTGAGGCGAACTGGGGCTATCCTCCAGCGATGATGGAGTGAATTAATCGGAGATTTGGGCGAAAATTTTTCCGGGGGCATTTTCGAAATTTTCTGAGCGCTTTTTCGGAAGGGCATTTTCCTTGGATTTAGAAGGCTACGGATCAAGGATTCGGCGTGAGGGTATCCTCTACCGACGAATAAGTCTATTAAGCACTTATTTCGGCGTATTTGTTCTTGGCCACCGACGAATAAGTCTATAAGTCAACCATCACCGATTTCGCGTGATTTTTTGGAATTGCCATTTTGGTTCGATTTTGGAGGCTACGGAGCACGGATTTGGCCTGAGGCGAACTGGGGCTATCTTCCGGCGATGATGAAGTGAATTAATCGGAGATTTGTGTGAAAATTTTTCCGTGGGCATTTTCGTAATTTTTGGAGCGCTTCTTTCGGAAGGGCATTTTCCTTGGATTTTGAAGGCTACGGATCAAGGATTCTCGTGAGGGTATCCTACACCGACGAATAAGTGTATTAAGCACTGATTTGGGCGTATTTGTTCTTTGCCAATTTTTAGCAGTTTCCAAAGGGGTACCATCACCGGTTTCGGGCGATTTTTTGGAATGACCATTATGGTTGGATTTTGGAGGCTACGGAGCACGGATTCGGCCTGAGGCGAAGTGGAGCTATCCTCCTGCGATGATGAAGTGAAATAATCGGAGATCTGTGGGAAAATTTTTCGGGTGCATTTTCGTAATTTTCCGAGTGCTTTTTTCGGAACGGCATTTTCCTTGTATTTTGAAGGCTATGGATCAACGATTCGGCGTGAGGGTATCCTCCACCGACGAATAAGTCTATTAAGCACTGATTTGGGCGTATTTGTTCCGGACCAGTTTTTGGCAGTTCCCAAAGGGGTATCATAACCGATTTTGTGCGATTTTTTGAATGGCCATTTTGGTTGGGTTTTGGAGGCTACGGAGCACGGATTCGCCCTGAGGCGAACTGGGGCTATCCTCCAGCGATGATGAAGTGAAATAATCGGAGATTTGGGCGAAAATTTTTCCGGGGGCATTTTCGGAATTTTCCGAGCGCTCTTTTTGGAAGGCCATTTTCCTTGGATTTTGAAGGCTACGGATCAAGGATTTGGCGTGAAGGTATCCTCCACCGACGAATAAGTCTATTAAGCACTGATTTGAGCGTATTTGTTCCAGGCCAATTTTTGGCAGTTCCCAAAGGGGTATGTCACGGACATAGACTTCCGAAGTCTGTGCGGCGTCTTGAGGTGCACTCATTCCTCAAGACCAGCCTCTCTGCATACGCATGCCAACTAGTTTCGCCCTGCCTTGGGCTCATCAGGGAGACGGCAATAGCCTCCGACCAGTTGTGCCTTCTCTTGCAACGATCCCCTTCATAGCCACATCCTGACTCGGCTAGATGCGATGCACAGGCAGACAACGCCTTATCGCTAATGTCGCCCCCTTTACCCTTCTCATGGCAAGACAACCATATGGCAGCGTTCTTCACCAACTTATGTATAGTAGACTTCTTTCCTATCTTCATAATTCTTGTTGTCTTGCGTAACTCTATTTTTTTACTTCCCAAACTATGAGTTTGGTTTTTATTTTTTGGTTTATCCAAATCAAACCAAAACCGTCAAGAGACTTATCAATTTCCGATTAACCAATAGCTTATAAGAACCTTAATGATTTTAATTTTGAATTTTGAAATTTTATTTGATTTGGTTTTTATTTTTCATGCTTGGTTAACCGAATCAAACTGGCAGCCTAATCCTGGTAAGGCAGGATACCAACCATCACCCAATTGCTCTGTTTTAAGAATAGTCTGGCAGATAATCAACTCGCCCTGCGCTTTCTACTTCTCTTTCTTTGATTCTTCTCTTTTTCTCGTTTCCAAAAGACCAAGTCGATTGCTTTACAACTAAGGTAATTAGTTCCTTGTCCAACCTTTGCTCTTCTTCGTCCCATCCGCAGCGTTGCCACCTGTTTTCACTGACATGACATCCCATCCTGCCTGTCGCTACCCGACAACAACGTGCCATCCCATTCGCTCCTTCTTCCCGCCGACGCCACCCATGAATCGACTCCGACGTACCAATACATTTGCATTATTAAAATGCTGCTGATACTCACAGACAGCCAGCCAGCATTTCCATCCCATTATATTTTTTTGATCAGTCCATCCCATTATATTTATATTGCTGCAATAATTAGTAGGATGGCAATTACCTATCCATGGGTAATTTTACCCAAATCCAAATAGATCCATTCAGTATGGGTAGGGTTTGGATGAAGTGTATATGGGTTTGGGTGTTTGTAGATGAGTTTGGGTTAGGTATGGATATATCCATTTACTTGAGGGTGTTTTAACTACACACAAAAATTGGACCTACTTGTAAAACTTGAAAAGTTTAGGTACCAAAATGCAAGAACAAAAAAAAATTAGGTAACAAAACGTAATTTTCCATCGATATTTTGAAAACTTTTATGCAAAAAAAATTAAATTTAGGTACTAAATATGCATATCTATTAAGTTTAGGTACCAAACTGTCATTTATATTTGGGTATGGGTACAAACCCAAATTCATGTATTAAAAACTCAACCCAAGTAAATTCTTGACGTTGCAATTAAAATGCTCTCAACCCCGACGCCGGCGCCGGCTCTCTTCCCATCCGATAGACCGCCGGACACTTGCAAACCCTTAGCGATAGTTGATTCTTCTGCTTTAATGGTGAACCAGGCTGATATGGCTATTGACTCTTCCTCTGTTTTGCCTTTGCAGAAACAGGGGGACAAGGACGCGACGACAGAGACGCAGCCCGAGCAACCTTTGACAATGAGCACCAGTCAACAAAGCTTGACCTACGCCAAAGCCGTCTCGGGAGGGTCGACAGCGAATAGGAACCAGAACCCGGCGATTCAATGGACCCCGGTGGGGGAACATGACCTGGTGACTGGTGAACGCAATGGGGAACCTTCACTGCAAGTCTCGGCCGCTTTCAAGGCAAAGCTGTGTGCTCCGTGGCAGAAAACGCTTGTAGTCAGGTTACTAGGCCTGCGGATAGGCTTTGTTACTCTGTGTAACCGTCTGAAGAATCTGTGGCGTCCGACGGGCAGCATGGAGGTCAAGGATCTCGACCATGATTGCTATCTGGTGAAGCTGGATAATGAACATGATTACCTCAGAGCGTTGACGGATGGGCCTTGGGTAATTTTCGACCATTACTTAGTGGTTCAGCAATGGTCCCCGAAATTCAAAGCCTCTGACCCGCTTCCCAGGACGATGATCGTCTGGGTTCAGTTCCCAGCGCTGAAAATCCATTTCTACCACAAAGAGGTTCTGACCACGTTAGGGAACCTAATAGGCAGGACCATCAAGCTGGACTACCATACGCTGAACCAGGAGAGAGCGAAGTTCGCTCGGCTGGCAGTGGAAGTCGACCTGTCGAGACATCTGGTTCCGCGGATTTGGCTCGACGATGAGTGGCAGAAGGTGGAGTACGAGAATCTTCCGGAGGTTTGTTTCGAGTGTGGGAAGATCGGACATTCATCATCGTCCTGCCCGCAGCTCTTGTCGGTCGTTCCCCTTAGCCAATCATCGCCGCTGGACGTGTCGCCGACATCTCCAACCACCGCCGACGACCCCAACCCGGGCTTCGGCCCATGGATGCTGGTAACCAGGAAGTCTCGGCGTAATCCAAGGGATCTGCAACGAAAAGGGAAAGTTGAGAATGGGTTGGGCAATCTGGGCAATCAAAGCCCGATCTCGGTCTCCAAAGATGGAAAGAACGGGCCAGCGGTAAGGGAAGGAAACTCGACCTCACCACCCCTTTTCACTCCCAACGGTCACTTACCTCCTAAGAACCCATCTCAGGAAAAAAAAGGAAACAATGACAAGAAGATCAGTGAGGAAACTAGAAAGGGGAAGAGTAAAGTGGTTAGCGAAGGAAATAACAAAGGGAAGGGTTTGCTTGGGGCCGGGCCCAAACCGTCTAAGAAAGGGGATGGCGGGCCGAAGCAGGTTTCGGTTGTGGGGCCCTCTTCCTCATCAGGCCACGACTTGGGCCTGGAAATGTTGGATCGGAACGCACAGGAGGATGGGGCAGCCCAAGAACCTCACGGGGAATCAAGACTCACGATGTCTCAAACGCTGGCCATTCGAACCGTAACAGGACAGAATGGGACAGTGATGCAGATTGTAGAAGACATTCCACCAGTGGGGCAAGGCGCGGTCACAAAGAACTCCTCGCCGTCGGTGGCGTCGAGGACAAAGCGGAGCAAGCACAAGAAGACGCCAAATAAGAAGTCCCCCAACAAGCTGAATCAATTGAAACCTCTTCAAATTTGGTCCCCGGTGAAGAAGCCCAAATCCAAGGCTCGACTCGCGTCCCTGACGCTCCAGGAAATCAATGCCTGGACTGAGGCTGCTAAGCGGCCGACGGGAGGAACTGGGGGTTTGGAGCAAGGCGATGAGGTAGCTACTTCGCGGGCCGAAGATAGGCCAATCGACGGACCTCCTTCGACGACCTGAAGCGGAGCTTCCCCTTGGGCTCTCGATCTGCTTTCCTGTTTCTGTCCTTTCTCTCTTTTTTTTTTCCCTCTTTATGACTATGAATTCCGATCTAAAAATATTCTCTTGGAATGTTGGTGGCGCAGGAAGTCGGGAGTTCTTCCGGGCGCTGAAATTGGCTATCCAAGGTCATCGACCAGATTTTGTAGTGTTGCTTGAGCCTCAGATCAGTGGTGACTCAGCCAACGCTGTGTGTGATAAGCTGGGCTTTCCAAATTCGATCCGGGTCGAAGCAGAGGGGCGTCGTGGTGGTCTGTGGGTCTTCTGGGACGCGGGCCAGTTCACAGTGCAGCCAATTGCAGCCTGTTTTCAGCACATTTCGCTCAGAGTTTCCAGGAACAACAGCCTACCTTGGATTCTCACGGCGATATATGCTTCTCCCAGACATCACGAACAGCGGCAGCTTTGGGATAATATCATTGAGCAGAGTAAGGCCATTGATGTTCCTTGGCTTTTGACAGGCGACTTCAACGCCATCAGCAGTTTGGACGAGAGGACGGGTGTGCCTACCAGCAACACTCGCAGGAGATGCCAACTGTTCGTGGAAAGAATGAACTTAGCAGAGCTGATTGATCTTGGTTTCTCCGGCCCCAAGTACACCTGGGCTCGAGGGGACCAAGCTCACACTTTCAGAGCTAGTCGCCTGGACAGGAGCCTTTGCAACACCCGGTGGAATTCGGCCTTTCCTAATTCTACGGTGCTTCACCTTCCTCGCCTCCAGTCGGACCACAACCCAATTCTTACCACGGTGGAGCTACAGCCTCCGCAGCAGCAGATGGCCCGGCCGTTCAGGTTTGAAGCCGCCTGGCTTACGAGTGAGAACTTGAAGAATGTGATCGCTGACTCCTGGGACAAGGATGCTCCTCTCCAGGAGGCTTTGCATACTCTTGCAGGTAAACTTGTCGAGTGGAATGGTACTGTCTTTGGGGACGTAAGGCAGAAGAAGCGAAGACTTCTAGCTCGATTGAAAGGAGTAGAGTCAAGGCTTGCTGTCTCCTTCTCTCCTGGTCTGGCCAAGCTCCACTCCAAGCTGGAATGTGAGTTAGATAAGGTCCTCGAGCAGGAGGAGCTTATTTGGTACCAACGGTCGAGAGATAAGTGGGTGAAATACGGGGAAAGGAATACGGCTTATTTTCACCAGCAGGTCAATATAAGAAGAAGGTCCAATAGAATTGAAGCTCTGATGGATAATAATGATGTCTGGGTGGATGATCCCTCCTCTCTTGCTACGCTGGTGTTCGACTCAGTTTCTAGCATTTTCATGCAGGATGACTCGACGTATGAAGACAGGCTGCCAAGGGACTCTTTCCCACGTCTGAGCCAAGCGGAGGCAGCAGCGCTCTTCAGGTCGTTCACCACCATGGACATTCACAGTGCGGTTTTTGATATGAAGCCGTTTCAAGCTCCGGGTCCAGACGGGTATCATGCGGCCTTTTATCAGCAATTCTGGCAAGTGGTGGGCAGGTCTTTATCCGACATGGCTATCTCCTTCTTCACGAATGGAGTTTTACCTGAGGGTGTGACAGACTCGACTCTAGTTCTTATCCCGAAGGTTGACAAACCTGAGAGGGTTACCCAGCTGCGGCCTATCTCGCTCAACAACGTCTGCCTTAAGAGTATTACGAAGGCTATGACCTCTAGACTCAAACCCCTCATGAGGAAACTGGTCTCCCCAAGGCAAAGCAGCTTCATTCCCGGCAGGCAAACTTCCGACAACATTATTGTGGTTCAGGAGGTTTTACATTCTTTTAGAAAGAAGAGAGGAAAGAAGGGGGGAATGATCTTCAAGATCGATCTGGAGAAAGCCTACGACATGCTGCGATGGGACTTCCTCCGAGACACTCTTAAGGAGGTCGGCTTACCGAGTAGTTGGATCAACTGCATTATGTACTGCGTCGAACACAACTCGATGAGGATCAGGTGGAACGGGGAACTTTCTCAACCAATCATCCCGACTCGTGGTGTCCGACAGGGAGATCCCCTTTCTCCCTATCTCTTTGTTTTATGTATGGAGCGGTTATCTCATAAAATTGATGAGGCGGTGAATAACGGACAATGGAAAGCCATCAGGCTTACCAATGCCGGCCCATCTCTCACTCACCTCTTTTTTGCAGATGACTTGCTACTTTTTGCAGAGGCAGGGAAGCGCCAAATCCGAATCGTGAAGCAGTGCCTAGCAGATTTCTGTTATAGCTCGGGGCAACGAGTCAACTACAGCAAGTCTATCCTCTACGTTTCTCCGAACGTGGGTCGACACAAGGCAGAGTATCTCAGCGAGTGCGCAGGGATCCCTTTGAAGTCTGGGCTTGGGAGGTATCTCGGGATCCAGGCTATTCAAGAAAGGGTCACGAAAGGGAGATATCAGTCCCTCATTCTCCGTATTCAAAAGAAGATGGCCCCCTGGAAGGCTAAGAGACTCTCTTTCGCAGCCCGGCTTACTGTAGCTAGTTCGGTTACTGCCTCCTTGCCTGTTTATACTATGCATACTGAACTAATCCCAAGTGGAGTGTGCAGGAGCATCGATAAAATCAGCAGGGACTTTATTTGGGGAGATGAAGAGAACAAACGCGGCTTCCACCTGGTAGCTTGGGAAAGACTGACGACGCCTAAAGCTCAGGGGGGAGTGGGCATCAGACCTACTCGGCAAGCAAATATCGCCATGCTTGCGAAAGGCTGCTGGCGCCTCCTCAAAGACAAAGACAACATCTGGCAACAACTGCTTCTCAGCAAGTACGGGGGTCAGCGTCAGAATCTTGAGGCCCTCCAGAATATAAAGGGAAGTTCCTTTACCTGGCGTAGCTTAACTAAAGCTTCGGACCTTCTTAAGAAAGGTTGTGCGTGGAATATTAAAAATGGGAAACAAACTAAATTCTGGTTGGATGCTTGGATTTTACAGGGCCCGCTGAAAGAGAAGGTGATCGGCGATATCCCGGAAGGAATGGAGGAGGCTGTGGTGGCTGATTTTATCCGTGAAGACGGCAGCTGGCGTACGGAGCTGTTCGACGGGCTCCTCCCCACGGACATCAAGAACAGAATCATGAGCACGGCGGTCGACACCCTGGCATCAGAAGAAGACTCTCTGTTCTGGACCGAGTCGTCGGATGGTCGTTTCTCCACAAAGTCTGCTTACGAGCTCCTCACCAAGCAGAGTCAGCCGCCGAGTGATGGGGTTTGGAAGAAAATTTGGCAGCTTCCGGTCCCTGAGAGAGTAAGAAGCTTCGTTTGGCTGTCTTTTCAGGGGAAGATCGCCACCAACGTGTTGCGGCATCAGCGGAAGGTGGCGGCCTCGCCTTGCTGTGTGCGATGTCCTAACTCCCCGGAGACGACGCTGCACATCCTCCGGGACTGTGCCCCTGCCGCATTCTTCTGGTCTCGCCAAGTTCCGCAGCAGCAACATCAAGAGTTCTTCAGCGCTAGTCACGAGCAGTGGTACCGAACAAACCTCGAGAGCACGGCCTCTAGTGCAGCGGGGATTAACTGGCCTGGCTTCTTCAGCATTGCGGTTTGGCTTCTTTGGAAGAACCGTACCACGGCTGCTTTTAAAGGTGTTGGGGCAGCTCTCACTGCTCCGTCTCTCACTCACTCAATCGTGGCTAAGAGCAAGTTTTGGACGGACTCTTGGCACGCCCCGGATTTGTTCGCTAGTCACAAAAGGCAGAGAGCAGAGAGAGTAGTGGCGAATATCAGTTGGGTGCCACCTTCCGAGGGGTGGGTCCTAGTGAACACGGACGGGGCCTCCAATGGTAATCCGGGCTTAGCAGGAGCTGGTGGTGTCAACCGTGATCCGCTGGGTAATTGGCTTGGGGGTTTCGTCGCGAAGATCGGATCTGCTACTGCAGCTTTGGCGGAACTATGGGCCATCTCCCACGGTTTAGACTTAGCTTGGAGGCTCGGTCACCGCGTGGTCAAGCTGGCTTCCGATTCCCAGCTGGCCATTCAGCTTATCCAGGACCGACATGATCCCATTCACCCCTATGCTACTTTGTTGAATCTCATTCGCAGGAAGATTAGTCAGGACTGGCTGGTCAGTATAACCCATACTTACCGCGAAGGGAATAGAGTCGCGGACTGGCTCTCGAAGCACAGTCTCGTCTATCCCTACGGGGTGTATGAGTTATCTGCCCCGCCGCAAGGCGTTATCTCGATTCTTCAGGATGATGTTAGGGGTCTTTCTTTTGAGCGGCGGATTGTAGCCGGCTCTTCCTCTACTTCTTGATCCTCCCCCTTGTATCTTGTTCTTTTCTTGGCTTTAGCCTCCTTGTTATGCAAAAAAAATCTACCATTTATTTGGAATCCATATGGGCTAAATTGCCCTCCCCAATAATTAGTCCTATTTAATTGTTGAGATTTTCGGATTAGAAAATAGTGAAGGCGAAATTTAAACAGGGCAAGAAAAAGAAAAGAATCTTTCTCCTTTTCAGAATAGAAGCTGCCACGTAGTTGTCAAATACAGATCGGTAGGTAACAGGGAAATTTTTTTTAAGAAATATTCAAAGCCAGCGGGAAGCCATTGCCGCCAACTCCATTAATACCATTACCCAATAATTTTAGCATCAAATTTTTTGGCTTTTAGGGTTTAGAAATTAGAACACCATTTTTCTCTCTTCACCGTTCACGATCTCCATTCCCCTGCCTCAATTTCACGCTACAATTCCTTTCTTTTTTTTTCTCCCAGCAACCAATTCCCCCTCGCCGCTAAATCCCCCAAACTCTGGAAGGAAAATCGCAAGAAAATCGAAAGAAAATCCACCCTCCTTTGCCGGCGGCAGGGGAGACAATCTCAAGAAACCAGAGGCCGAGGAGACAGAGTGGTGCCGGGGAGAATTAACAATTCCTTCACATATGGCACCGAGTCTCCTGGCCTGCTTTGGCCGCAGCAAGAGCTCCTCCTCCCCCTCCGCCGCCGTCAAAAGAGACCAGTTTTCCGCCTCCCAGACCGTCGACGCGTCGGTCGAGGAGCAGCGCCGCGGCGGGCCCGTCGTGGTGGAGCTGTTCTCGTCGCAGGGGTGCGCGACCTCGCCGGAGGCGGAGGTGCTCTTGTCGAGGCTCGGGAGAGGGGATTTTGCGCTGGAAGCGCCCGTGATCGTGCTGGCGTTCCACGTTGATTACTGGGACTACGCCGGTTGGAAAGATCCCTTCGGTTCCAGCCAGTCGACGGTCCGGCAGAAGGCTTACATCGAGTCCCTCAACCTCGACACCATGTTCACCCCGCAGGTCGTTGTTCAGGGAAGGTCTCATTGCGTTGGGAACGAAGAAGAGGCGTTGCTCTCTGCTATCATGAGCGCCCAGAGATTCCCTTCCCCTGCCTTTCAGGTGAATTTTCCTTTTCCAAACCCTAATGCTAAGTTGGTACAAGTAGATGAGAGAGATCAGCCAATTGGAATTATGTTTGATGGGTAGTTTCAATTTGCAATCTTTCTCGATCATTTGAGTCAGAGATCCTAACACAAACTCCAATCTTGAATTGTTGATTATTGTGGAACAGGCGACGTTTCAGAGGCCATCGCCGGGGACTCTGAAGGTGTCTCTGTCGGGACCGTTGAGGAGCAAGATAGATGGGCAAGGGATGGATGTAATGGTGGCACTGTACGAGAGCGGGCTGGTGATGGACTGCCCGAGTGGGGAGAACAAAGGCAAGGTACTGGCGAATGACTACGTGGTGAGGAGGATGGAGAAGGTTGCTACTGTGAAAGATGTCTCGGCCAAGAAAGTGGTGACTGCCAGTGTTCATTTCCCGCTGTGGGAAGGATTCAACGCGACTAAATGTGGGGTGGCCGTGTTTCTGCAAAACAAGCAGCATCAGATTTTCGGGTCTCAGAACTTTCAGTTGCCGGATTCCATATGACCGCAGAGTTGAGTTATATATGGTCTTCGTGTATGGGAAAAGGGTGTAATTCTCCATCTGATTTTAGGCTCTTATGTACAGCATGTGAACTTCTCTTCCATTCTCATCTGGCTGTGGCCCAGCTCGATCGTCTGTGTCTTGATTTGCGCCATTATTTGACTGATTCTTGCCATTGGTTCATGTGAAATGAGATTTGCTGCATGTCTGATTGGTTTCAATGAGATTTGCTGAATGTTTGTTGAACTGGAAGCAATCGCGCCATTGTGCAAGCTTTGATCAGCTTGCTGATGATTGCCCATCAGCAAGACGTATCAAAGGTCATTTGGAAGTGCAACCAAACTTTATACAAAAGAAAGCTTGTACCAAGTAATTGTTTTTACAGTAATGGTTGGGGTGTACATATCTAGCTGTATTGCACAAGATGGCATGTATCTGAGTTCCCGGCTCCTTGGATGAAACTTGGAAAGCACTCTCTAGTATTACAGATCAAAAGGCTAATTTCATTTAGGTCCCCAGCAGCTCAAGAGGAAAACCTTTCTCAGAGATGTCTCAGCTGGCTTTGCCTTTTCCTCCTCTGGTCTGGCCTGCATGGCTGGAGAGAGGGAAGTCTGGGCAGAGTCTTTGAGACCAAGAGATGCTCCTAGAGATAAAACAACGCATGTTGTTGGAGTAGTGAGTCTCGTCATAAGTTCCGAAAACAGAGATTGAGTGTTGAAACAGTCACAGCAGACAGCACTGCAGTGAAGGAAATGAAGAACACAGAGTGTTGTACTGTACAAAGCAAGGCTTTGCTTGCAAGACCCTTGTGCTTGTAGGACTGCGTTTTATATAGGCCCAAGAGACACCAGTTTGGGATAACACATGGAAGATGGAACCTCATTCTTGGCTCAGAGAGAGGTGAGAAAGTGGAGAATATATTAGGCTGAGTAAGTTGTTCCTTAAGGATAGCTAATCTTCCAGGTCACTTGGATTTTGGAGAATATATGCTTCTCTGCTGCAAGTGCCGAGAATATGCAGTCCGTTCTGTCGAAATCGTATTGTTTATGCTTCTGGTTTAGTTAGGCACAAAGGCACTTAATTCTGCAAACTATGTGAATCGTATCTTCCTTCCTAAAGCCAAGTGCCCAACTATGCATCCCTTCCAGGCCCATGAATCGTTTGCGGTTGCTCCAGCCAGGCTCCATGGACTAGATTAGATGAGCCCAATCAATATATGTCCAACTCCTTGACAATGAGGCAAGAAAACAGCATGAAAAATATCCTCTCCTTGTTTATCCTGTAGGTGGAACAATATAAAGGCACGTCTTGAAAGGCTCAACAACTAAAATTGATTGACGTCCCAGCAATATGGGTCCAGCCAGCGCCAGGCGTAGACAGTTGGAGGTGTTTGATTACGGATGACCAGAAACCGCATTAAATCCTGGTAAAGGAGGGACAACAAACTACTCTTCAATCCATCTGCCCAACTACACCACCATACCCTGTTATCCTCTAACCATCTACCATGCTTATCAGTTATCGGGGAGGTTTAGCCCGTGTTGACATCGTTGAATCGCTCTCGTTGTAAATTCGAATACAGATCAAACAACAATCTAACATGCTCGACAAGGCAGGAGGATTCAGCTAATATCAAACATTTTGTCAACATAAAGAAGCATTTGTTGGCAAACGACCATGAAAAGCTAGGCAGACTGCTTTAAATTACTCACCATATACAGAATTGCATTACGTCTCTAAAGCTTTTTATTTCTCTTTTACTTGCTTACCCTAGAAACCAACATGTATTTACAATCAGATGCAGATTGCGATGGGCTCAAGAACTACTGGAGGGCTGTTACAGAGGCTGGGAACAGAAATGGATACCACAGTCAGAACAGCCAACTGACCAGTACAAATCTTCTACCATATACTCGCAAAAAACACCATTGGTTGCCATGGAGGAAGAAGAAGAGGATAAAAACTTCTTCAGGATGAGTCCACTGCGGCTCCAACTTGCTGCCTGGCCAAGTACTTCTCCCTCCGTTCTTTCTGCAAAATAAGAAACACCCTAATGAGATAACTTGGCATGCAGCATTGTTGTAGCAGCTTGATCCAAATGAGATAGATTAACCAACGTACCCATTCATCGATCACCAGGCCTTCACCGATGACCTTGGGACCTGTCTCCGCCGCTGGGGGCTTATTCTTACGTGCTTCCAGATCAGCTTCTGCTTCAGCCAGTTGCCTCTTCAGCTTCTCCAACGCAGCATTGGGCCGCTCTGGATCCAAGAACACCACTCTCAGTATCCTCTCCACTGTTACTTGCTCCTTCTGCTCTTCAAACTGCATACATTCCCCAAATTGTCAAACCCAAGAACCCAACTTTACCACTTCATATTCAATACCAAGGTACAAACCAAGTAATTTACAAGCAGAAGAAATCATGTTGTGATGGAACTTACAAGCTCAGGCACATACTCCATCCCTCCTTTAACCTTCAAACTCATGATTTTGAACTTATCCCTGCACTTCTGCATCCCCCCTGCTGCTTGCTTCTCACTGTTGCTCTCCGGCTGCTCGACAAACTTGAACACTGTTGCAATTAGGCTTTCTCCCGGAGCGAGAACGCCGCCCGGCGGGCGCATGTAGCAGCTCTTCGGGGCAGTCGTTTGGAACTGAACAAAATTTTCACAAAGAGGGGAAAGATCATTAAAACAAAACTAAAGAAACTCAGCAATTCATCAAAGGAAGAATCGATTTTGTAATTAAATTTTCTTACCTTGAAAGCAACATGCGACCTGCTAGTATTCTTCAACCTCACAGCGCTTCTCACCTGCTTTCCCGGCTCATCTACATCAAACAATAAGAAAAGAATTGATAAATTGAAGTTTCCCCAGTTTATGCTTTTCCCCAGTAAAGGAATGTCGGGGAAGAGTTGACCTGCCGACGACCCAGAGACGAGAAGGGGGAAAAAAGTCAACGAGGGGGAGAAAACGGTGACGTACAAGGGATGTAGAGATGGTTGTGAGGGTCGAGGCGGAGACGGCGACGAGCAGGGAGAAGGGATCTGGCGACGGAAGAAACCGTCTTGGCTGACGGCGACGAGGCGGAAGATTTCGCGGCGGAGCCGGCGGCGGTGTGGTAACCGGGTTGATTCAAGTTCTGGGTGGAAGAGGAAGTGGAGGAAGCTCCGTTCCCTGACTGCCAAAAGGGACAAAGACCGAAGAGCTTCGTGTCTCCGCTAGAGGACTTCGGCCGGTCCGCAATTGCCATCGTCGGCGGCGAACGGCACCACTACGCTGAGTTTTGGAAATTAAAGCCAACTCAACGGTTTCCTTTTCTCCTACCTTTTTTTTGTCCTTGTGCCAGAAGCGCTGCTTTTAAATAAATGAAGGGAATTTTTCCACCAGGAAAAGAAGAGAGAAAAAATGAGGCAAGTAGTTAATACTTAATAGGCAATATTAGAGAAATATAAAAAATATATAAATAAAAAAAGAACGAAAATATCACACCTGGAAAGCGTGGAACCAACTGATTGGGGAAGGATTCCTACGTGTCTTTGTGCCTGAAAAATGAAAATTTATTAGATAATGTTTTTTTCAGTATAGTTAACAAAAATGCGTTTAATACACATCTATAAAGTAAGTATATTTTAAAATTTTCATTTCAATACTTTAACGAGAACTATCAGAGCATCGATAATTTTCTTATTATAGGGCCTGTTCTATTTTCATTTTCGTTTACTGTGTTTTGTTTTCATGTCATAAGTTTGGCAACCGAAACGAGAAAATCTGTTTACTTTTCATTCTGTTTTCTATTTGTTTTCAACTCCGAAAACAGAAAGTGTCAGCTTCCTGCTGTTTCCGGAAAAGAACATAAATGTGGGAGGAGTTACGGTGCTAATTGTACAAGAGTTAGCACCGTTCTAACCAAGGGTTAGTAGTGATTTAGCTTAGATGTTGTATTGATTTTATAATAATCCGTAGTGATTTCGTTGTTTTTAGTAGCGTTTTTTGCTAGTTATCACGGTGCTAACCCCTATAAGGGTTAGCACCTAATCCCATCCCACAAAATGTTGTTTTCGCCCGTTTTCAACATCTGTTTTCTCAAAAATAGAAAACAAAAACGAATGTAAACAGGCCCTAAGATTCTATAAATCAACACCAACTTGTAGGATCAAATCACCATGTGTGGGGAGCTTAATTTCGCGGAGCTTAATATCTTTCATCTCCGATCATCTTAATTAGGGAGAAAAAAATAAAAAGATTAATGACTCATAGTCTAGAGACTTATACGACTCAAATTCTTGATGTTATTTCAACTTACATATGACGTGAATCGTTTTGTCCTACAACGACGAAAAAACTGTTTCATTGAGGAGATATCCACACAATTTGATCACAACATATAAATTTAGTAGTTAACAAATACGCCCATTGATATGAAAAAACCGGTATTTTCATCTAAGGACGCGTGCCATGGTGGAACAAAAACCCTCGAAAACGTCTTAAGATCAAATTTAACATATTGTACCTCGGGGAACATCTCGCCATCAAATGAACATCGGATTTCCCAGAAGTTGAGGGCATCTTCTATTCTATGTCAAAAATAGTACCAAGAGTCAAGAGGACAGACTGCTGAAGACTAGAAGCTAAGCCAATTGATGGCGATGCGAATGTTGGATGTGGGAATGTGGGCTCTTGTTTGTTTAATACTTGGGTGGAAGTTGAAGGAGGGATAGGTCGCCATATTCAATGTTATTAATGGTGGGAAATCAGAGTTAGGTAAAAAAACCAAATAGGATGGCGCATTAACAATTTGTCGGCTTGGTTGGTTTGTTAGTTGAAGGAACAGTTAGGTGAGTAATGCCAATTTTGTGCGTTAACTAGGTCTGGCAATGGGGCGGGGCGGGTACCTCAATTCTCATGCTCCGTTCCACGCTATTACGGGTCGGGCGGGTAAAATCTGCGTGGGTATGGGGCGGGGCGGGTCGACTCACTCTTACATGTTGTTAAAAAAAATACAAGTAAAATTTACTTTTTACAATAAAACGTAGGGAAAAACACTTTAAGAATGAAAAATATAGATAATAGAATGAATAATTGAGCCTAACAAGTTGAAAGATCGACTCTAACTAGTTGAAGAAAAGTCAAAATAGGAGAAATTATCTCTTTAAAAGAACAAGTTACAACTTTACTGTTTGGTAGAGTCACATCCCGTCACTGTTACTTTTTAGCTTTTTACTTTTTCTCATCATTTCTCACTTGACTTTAACTGTTTTGCTTTTTCTGACCAAAGGGAGACTTTTTATTACTTATCCCTTCTTTCTTCCTCATGTCTAATCCCCCATTCCTCTCCATCTTTCTAGATCTGCTTTCTCTCTCCTTCTCTCTTTTGTGTTGAACGACGAAGAAGAAGCAAGGTGAAGAAGAAGAAAAGGAAGATCGAGACATGGGTGAAGCAGAACATGGAGGAGATCACAGAAGAATCCGGCGAAATAGAGCACCAACCGGAACTCACAGATTATCCATCAAGATAAAGTCGGTTCCTTTCTTCTAGATTTTTCTGGGTTTTTGTTCAATATCGTTCTTGGAGTTCTTCCTGCTTCCTGTTTTTGCTTCTGATTCTTGTTTTTTGTGATAAAGTCGGTTCCTTTCTTCTAGGTTTTTCTGGGTTTTTGTTTCTGATTCTTGTTTTTAGTGTTGTTTGCGGAGATGGACGAAGAAGGAAATGACCGAAGAAAATGGCGTCGACGGGATCGATGATGCTGCCTGGTGCGGATGGAGTGTTGTCGCTGCCTCTACTGAACCCTTTGTTTTCTAAATGGATTCATCGAACTTAAATCCACGCCGGTGCTGGGCTTGCGTATGGGATACAGGTTGAAGGGTGAGTATCGAGCCTCTTTTTCGGTTTTTGATTACTTTTAGGGTTTTGAATTTTGCTAAAAAGTTGTTTTCCTAATGGATTCATCAACCCTTTTCGGCAGAATCTCAGGTCCCGATCTCTCTCTCCTCTGCTGAAGAAGAAGAGGGGGATTGTTGATGCATAGGAAGAACATAAAGTGGATATGCTTCTAGATCGATTCAACTTTTCTCACTCATCTGTGTTCATCTTCTTAGTTGAAACCATCACCACCATTGAAGTAGCAGAAACCGACAAAGAAACGACGGGGATCTCAGTTCTCGAATCCCCTTTTGGCGGAATTCCAGGTTTGAATCTCTGCTTCTCTCCTGTCGTTGAAGAAGAAGAGGAGAATCGTTGGACAAGGGGAAGAAGATGAAGAGGAAATGCTTCTTAATCGATTCTGTCTTTCTAAAATAGCCTTTTCTGGCTCAGTACCAAGAAACCCAGCCCTTCTCAGTTGAATGACAATTCTCAGTCCCTTTTTAGGTAGCTTCTATTTTATGCTGACAAGGAATTTTGACCTTTCATCAATTTGAGAGGACCATGTCCTCGATGGCCAGGGTCTGCGTGCAGTACTGTTTGCCAGTGTTCGGTTTGGATGTGGCATAGTGAAGGAAGAGTTCTGCCCGGAGGATTTGGTAGGTTACGGAGGAAACGACAAAAAAGTTCAGCAAAAGTGGGGATGGGAGAGTAAGAGTTCAGGAAGTCAGTATCCATTTTAAAGATGGGTTATATGGTGGTGAAGTCAGGGAGGATTATTGGTTCCCCATCCTCACTCCTTTTCTAGAATCCCTAATCCCACAACTTATCTCATTGATTAATTCTGTGTAGCAAAGTAGAATCATGGAGGCAATGGATGGAAGATGCAGTTGATTCTATTTGAAACGGACTACGACCAGCCAAGTGAAAAGGAGTTATTCTTTCACTCATGATCATGCTGTATCCTGTACCTACGACAGTAGAAGAAGAACAAATCCTTTGAATCGCATTCCAGTGTCATATTCGGCCATAGGTGGTGAGCTTTCTCCTTTCCTCTCTTAATCTTACTTTTATTTTTTCTTTACTTAATTTGCCGGTTTCAACTGGATATTCTTCCTCTCTGTTGCTAATTATCCACGGTCGGCGTTGGGAATTTTGCTCGCAGGCTTTTCAGCAGCAGATAGCTTTTGTCCATCCTCTGCGGTTTCAGTTCTCTCTCATTTTTGGGTTCATAGATTTTCGACCTTGAAATAGTGGAGAAGCCATGATGATGGATCAATTGAATTTGGTTTCTTTGGCTTCTGAGTTCGTATAGGACCTGAGGAAAGGTGTCTAATTTCCTGACTGATAATTTGTAAACTGATCTTGGATCTCACAGAAATTGACTGCCCGATTCAGCTCAAGCTTCACTTGCTGCACATCTGGCCCTTGCAGGCTCCCTCGCATCCTCACAAGACCTTCTGCTATTGCATCTCCAATGCGACAAAATGGTTAGTGCTCCCAGTGGTTGTACAGAACTAGAAATCAAGCAGTATGTGTTCATGTGGTTTTTAATGGGAATGGATCACAGGGTCTTCATTTATGGGTATTGAGCTCACTCCAATACTACCACGCAAGAAACAATAGTGTTTTGTTAAATAAAAATGTTATTTTCTCATCATTGAGTAGTTGAATGGTGTGTTAAGTTGTGTTGCCTCTTCAAAAGACAGTGTCACTCTGCACATTAGCAAGAAACATGGGACAAAGCTGCGTGGAGATTACCCTCGCCTTTAAATAGAGGAATTTGGAGTCTGAATCCATTGTTTGGGTGTCGACTCTATCACCAAATATGTGGCAGCAACAACAAATATGATTTTGCTGCAAATATCTGATTCATTCTCCTCTCTTTTGTTTATTTATGTTTGCTGTCATAGTTGGTGAGGTTGTTGTTGAGAGATAAAAAGTAAATTTGGGACCTTGGTGGTTGTTGTTAGTTCTGTCCATACTGAGCTATGTTTGGTTCATTCATCTTAAAAGAACTTGAATTTTTGCAGGTAAAAGATTCATGCCATTTGTAACCTACATCAAGAACTTCCCATCATTAGCTTCGGAGAAAGGTTGATGTTGATTTAGCAATAGAGAATTTGGCATCGAAGTAACCCAAATAGCCTGATGAAACCTTGAATCGATTGTTATTTTTCAGGTTAAGTGCACCACTTGAGCTCAAAGTTCCCTTTGTGTCGATGCAACTATTTTGTTATGAACACAACTGATGCACTTTGTGGTCTCCTACCTGTACCATTTGTTATCAAATTTCCGAAGTAGCCGTGGTTTTTAAAGAAAGCTGGCCTCTGTTATGTATTTGCGTTGATTTTTATTCCAATTTTATGCTCTGCATCTTCAGTCAGTCCCAAACTAATGAACAATACTCCAATCTCAGATATTGCATCCCTTTCTCGGGTCTAGGTGAAATCCGAGATTCAGAATCCCGATCCCTTGCTTCCAGTCCCTCTCAATCCCAGGTAACTGACTTTATA